AAATTCATGGTCAGCAAATGTATTTAAGGGGCGCATTTTTCAATACTCATCACTCTCTTGATATAACTCTCAATACAGTACTTATTCAAATAAGTGAAGTGGAAGTCGATTAACGCTGTCAAGGGAATAGTAGTCACACGCCCTAGAGGAACGACGACATACACCCTTATGTCCACTAACGCAGTTCAGATCCGATATCCGGAGACGAGTCGACTATTAGTCTTCGTAAGTAGTATCACCACTACAATAATTACATACTCTGAGATTTAGAGATTATGGCATCGACAAGCAACTAAGGACGAAGAGGCTCTCCCCAGAGCAACAATGCGGAATAGATTCCAAACGCGTCGACAAGTTTGCGCCCGGTAAAGGGCGTCTCGTCGGCAAACACTCACCTTAGTTCAAGTTCGGACGCTTATGAACTTAAGCAACACATCATTCACCACTCATAATAGCCGCAACACGTAGCAGTATCCTTCACAAGTTAACCCCTTCAAACTTACTTCCATCTGAGTGTATTGCAGTGCGCAAACATCAAGACAAGATACGCTTGCTACGATACGAATACATATCACGTAACAACACTACATGTGTCGCGCTTCGTTACAACCATAACCTCTATTACGCACGTGGTCATCCAAACAGCACGAGTGTCGACGAATCAAACTTCGCGCCATTCTGCGATCAAATTCAACCATTACGTTGAATTATTTCAATAATCAATAATAGTAACACTAGTCAACCTTGTCATCAATAAATAACAGAATAATACATACATCAGTTATATTATAGATCTATTATATTTATATTGTATTATTATAATATCCCTTCCACTTGTGACCTTTCATCGCTACCACACAACACCCGTGGTCTCGTGACTTGTCAACGACATCAATTTGTATCCTTCGAACTGGCCTTTGTACATTTTGTTTTATTGCACCATTTTGTACAATACTATTTTTAATTTAGTTAATTATTGATTTTTGTTTTATTTTATTATTTGGCTTTGTAAGTCCTTTTTTAACATGGTTATATTCATACACATGATTGTATATTTTTATAATATAAGCTTAATGTTTTCAAAAAACTACCATATTAGACTTTTTGGTATTTAATTCTTGTTATTTAATTTATTTAAATATCTTACATTTCTAAAAAAAATTTTCAATATTACTACAAAAATATTAATATATACTTAGTTACTTCTGAGTTCATCTGTTTCTTATATTCACAAAAAATAATGCATAGATTATCACTTATTATTTTTTTCTTATATTATTTTATTGTTAACTTAATTATTCATCGAAGTATTTGTTGATAATTAAAATAATAATCCTGTTAGTATTTCAACTAGTAAAGTTGAAAAAACAATAGTTAAAATAGTTACAAACACAATTATTTTTTTAATTATAATATGTTAGGCGATAAAGTTTCTGTATTTTTATCGATGACTATAATTAACTGGAAATAAATATTTTCTCATTATTCGTGCTTAATTACTAATATTTTTGGAATTTTAATACTTGTAAGATTATCAATATACATAGTGGTTGTTATATCCAACTCATAATTTTCCTATAATTAATTTAAATCTATTAGAATATAGTCATACTACTTCATGCTATCATTATCAATTATTTGTCTATATTAATGAATTTGTATCTTTTAAGTTGCTAATATAATTATAGTACTGAAGAATTTTTATAACTTTTATATAATTTATTTTAACTATTCAACCTTTTTTTTAAATTTTATGATTTTAAATAATTATATTATAAATAAATTGACATTTCTGTTTTTCACCTCTCTTTTTTTCAATTGATAATTCTCATCTATAAAAAATAGTCTTCATCAATTAATTTTTTTACTCTATATTATTGTTAGTTTTTCTATGCTATATTTTTATTTATTATCATATATTATTATTATTTATCTTTAGTTAATAATATGGCTGTTTACTTTTTAATAATTTTTTAATTTTTTATTATCTGCATACTTTTTTTCATTTTAGTATTTCACTATACTTTCATGTCATTACAACTGGAGATTGATTCTATAATTTTTTATATATTATATGTATAAAATTATCCTTTCTCAATATCTTAAGTCTAACAATTTTAAGTCCAAAGTCTTAACAAAATTATTTAGTGTTTCACATTGTATTTTAAAACATTTAACTTTATAGGCATAATATCATTCCATGATTATTTTTCTCTGCTATTTTATTTCCAATCACCATTAATTGTGAGTTGTATTCCTTAATAATTTCCATCAGATTTCATTAACTTTCTTGCATTATGATTGTTAAAATATATTTTCATTTTGTTTCTATTATTTTATCGATTACATTATGTTTAAATAATTCTGTATAAACTAACAATAATAATTTATGAAGCCTAAGAATAATTTTATTTTCCTTTTTTATTGATTATATATGTCAGTTCTACCGTTTATCCGAACTTCATATCTAAAAACTTGGAGCATATTTGATTTAATGATTATATATGTTTGTTCGAATTTCTTCAATATTATTTGAAGTCATACTAAATATTACATGAATATTTTTGAAAAACTAAAATGTCATTTAAGTATATTTCTATTTAATCACGTGAAATCACAATGGCTTTTATTAATAATTTAAAAAAATTTCAATCTTGTTACAATTATTTTATATTTAAAATATCTTAAATATCATGCTAATATTGTAAACTGTGTTAATTTCAAATTTATTTTGATTTTACAATATCTTATTTTTAAGTCTTTAGTCATATAAACATTTATTATCTATAATTTTTCAATTAAATTACTTGTAACGTGATTATATCTAAATTATCGTTGGACTCTTTATGATGAGAACAAATTTGGGTGGTAGTAGGTCAAATAAGTTTATATATTTATTTTGATTTAGTATGGTATTGGGTTCATTTTTGTAGTATTTTATATTTTACATATTTTTTAAAAATTATTTTCATATATTTCTTTTGTACTTTATTGACAGCTAGAACCAGATTCTTGACTATGGTACCGAGCTTCCTTCAATTTTAAATTTCGTCTCTTAACATGTCTTACTCAATTTTGTTCTTTTACATAATTTTCTCTGTTCTAATTGCAACTAGCATTACATTATAAGTATTCTATGCGTGTGTGCAGTAGTATTATTCTGCAAATGAAAGACCACAAATTATCTTGCAAAATTTTGTTTACTGTTTTAATTCAGAATATAAATTTCTTTGAAATAATTAATATTTTTAATTTATACAAAAATGTCTATAATTCGAATCACATCGTAAAATAAAATTACACATTATCGATTTTTTATGCTATGATATTGTTCATGGCAATTTTTTGCAACTTATTTCTTTATTATACTAACTTTTTTCTGTAAGGCATTTATATTTTATTTACATTACACCTATCTCTTCGCTGACTATATATTCTAAAATAAGTTTATTTTATAAATTAAGAATAAGTATAATCAAATTCGGTAATTTGTTCGTTGTTAGTTATTATGAAATAAAATCATTGTACGAATCAATAGAAGCACAAAAATGTTGTCAATCTTAATGAAAAATATCGTTCGGTATAAATAATAATCATATATTGATTCATATTATATGTGCATAATTATATTAATATTCATCACATCAGTAAAATTATCGGATAGGCGTTAAAGCAAAGTGACCTTAACTTATGACCTTAACCTTAACAAATATGAAAAGAAATTATTTGATTAATTTAACTTATCAAGTTAAAATTTAATTAGAATGAATATGGATATACATTATTTTATATGTTTATACAAATTTTAATATTTAATTTATATAAATAGATTACCAAAAATATTTAAATATTCTAGAATTCCGTATATTCAATAAGATTCTATTACTGTTGTTCATCGATCAATCAAGAATCTATTAATTAAAATTGACTCTAATTAAAACTGATCTAAATTATATATGTATATATTGTTATTTGTTGTATTTTTATGATTTATTTATAAAAAATTAATATTTGAAGTGACAAAGTTAGATGCTTTTTTATATCTTTAAATGAATACAAAGAAATTTCAATTTTCATTTGATTATCATATTTCATTGATTAGCATGCTTAATGTGTACAAAAACAGAATTAACTCCTTAATATAGGATATCCTAGTTCTAACTTAATGGAAACCTATTTAATTTATTGATTTTCTTTAAAAGATCCAGAGATTTCTTATCATTATATATAAAATTAACGTCTATCAATCAATCAAATTTGACTTCTTTATTTATTTTCTTTTCTTTACTATCTTTCTTCTTTTTTAAAACAAAGTTACACTTTATATGGCAGAAAAATAAATGCTCATTGGGTTTCACATTCGATTGCTAGCTAATTATATTGTGCCATATTAAATTTTATGAAAATTAGTAATTTATTTCATTTGATTCATTTAAAAAAAAAAGTTTGTTTTTTATTTAAGTTATTTAAATTATATAAATTATAAGAATTAAAGTTTATAAATTTTTTCAGTTTTATAAATTTTGTTATATATTTTTACTTTTAAACGATTAATTTTAACTGATTTTAATATTGGTTTAAATATGTAGAATTTAATATTTCATTTATTATACATATGTAAGCATACTATTACATTATAATATATTGATAAAATTAGAAATAATGTATTTGTGTGAATAATAATGCAAAGCTGAACTATTTAATTTAAACTTAATACTATAATAAGTAACTATTTTATATACAAACCAAATTTTAATAAAACAAACAATTTATAATCAAGTAATGTATGGTAACAATGAATTTATTAAAGTAAATTTTTGCATTTTATAAATATCAAACGCAAAATATTTATATGATAAATGTAATATTTACAGTTTCAGTATTCTATACATATATAGATAATTTTTATTTACATGTTTAGTAATATAATTAATATACTTCTTCCATGTTCTTTGCGAAATTATATAATATTATTGATTACAAAATTGTGTAAAATGATTTTATATTTAATTATTACGCGAATTAGAATTATTTGATTCGCGTTTAAGTCTTTGCTTTAAATGCACTTTAGCATGTCTTTTTTTTTCATCACTTCTAGCAAATTTTCGTCCACACTGATCACAGCAGAATGGTTTTTCACCTGTATGAGTACGAATATGCGTTGTTAAGTGATCACTCCTAGAAAAAGAGCGCATACAAATACGGCATTGAAATGGCTTTTGACCTGTATGTATACGAATATGTCTAGTAAGTTCATCACTTCTTGAAAATCTACGATCACATCCATCAACAGGACATGCATAGGGTCTTTCATGAACTGGAGTTTTACTCGGACGGTTTGGATATTTACGTGGTTTAACAGGTACTAATTTTAATGGAATTGTACTCTGTTGGTATACCTGCGATAAAATTTCATGTCCTTTGGAAGTACTGGGATTATATTCAGCAAGTTGTATGCAATTACCATTTGTCGTAGTTTGTTGTTGCGATGGTTGTTGTGAACTTGGTTGAGAGAATATCGTACTTCCAATACATGGTTCTTGTTTTAATATAGTACATGATTGATGATGTTGAATAGAGTGAGGTAAAATATTTGTTTCATAAGTTTCGTCATGTGGTGTAAGCCAACTGGTTGGTGTTGAATTTTGGGTTTCATGATAATTCATAAGTAAAGATGGTTTAGAATCTACCTGCAAAAGTTCAATATTATCAGGTCCATAACAACCTGTATGTATAGAAGAATGAAGAAATGGTTGACCATTTAAGCTTAAAGTTGGGGATGGTAAAGAACCCCAAAGTTCTTGATTAGATTGAGATTGAATATGTGCAGGTTGTTGTTGGTGTTGCTGATTATGAATATTATTTATCGTTGATGCTTGTGTACACGAAGTTGCAAATACAGCGCTATACCTTAATGTTGGCATATTGCAAACATTAACACTTGGTGAAATTGATGAAGCATTAGTAGAAGAATGCGGAGTTGAATACAAAATTACACCACTTTGCAAAATATTACATCTAGTATCATCTTCTTGAGTTTCATTTAAATTAGATGAAGTTGAATTCGTTGATAAATTCGTAGTTGTTTGATCTAAAGAATGTTGTTGATGATGGTGGTGATGGTGAAGATGACGATTGGAATGATGGTCTCTATTTGCAGTATTGGAAGATACTTGATCTTCGACTGTTGTTTCATCTAAGGACAGATCATCACCTGGTAAATTACCTGAAAAATTTTTTTATATAATATATTAATTAATATATAATATATGGATTAATATACATATAATATATTAATCAATACATATATAATAAAATGAATATACATTTTCTATAAGCATTTAAATTGAATATATTTTTTATTAAATAATAAATTTTAATGTAATTATATATTTTATTATATACATAATACTATGTAATTAGTAGTTATATTTATAACGCTAATGAATTTGAATTATAACCATTAATGTATTCTGGTAAATATATAACCATTAATATTTTCTGATCTTAAATTATTAAATGATACATCATTTTAAAAATATGATCATTGTGGAGATTTTATTGGCATAATTCAAAGAAATGTTTTGTCTTATATTTTTAACGTATTTAATCAATTATTTTATTATTTTATTTTTATTTAGTCAGCTTCATTAATTTTATCTTTTTGAATAAGAAAGTCTTGATTGGTATTTTAGCTCAAATATTTATCAATGTTCATCTCTCTCTCTCTCTCTCTCTTTCTCTATGATATATATATATATATATATATGATCCTGCAAAATAAAGTCCTGTGTAAAACCTTAGATAAATTTGATTCCCTATAGATGTGTGATTAAATATCATTTTTCCTTCATTTTATTAATACTAAGTAATCTAAAATATACTTATTACATTACGATGAATACTTTTATTCCTTGCGTTATTCAACTCAATTTTCGTAACAAATGGTAATGCTTTTAAATATATTTTTCAATTATTGTTACAAAGATTCGTTAGATTAAAATTTCATCATATGAATTTGGTTTATAAAAATAAAATTGATTTGCACCTATATTATAACAAAAACGAAATATATTGTATTATGTAGATTAGTATAAAAAATAATTTATGATTTATTAATAGAGATCAGTTTACTTCTGTAATTGTCGTGTAACTGAAATCCAAATTATTATTATAGATATTAAAAATATACATAGATATACTGTTCGAGAATGCGAGACCCTTTCCTTTTTTTGTCAGTGCAATAAAACATCTGGCAAGTAACATCGTAAAAATTATATCTAGATTTCAAAATTTGCTTGCTCAAAATTATCAAGCACTAGTGTCATAAAACATCTGGAAAAACAATACCATAAACACGGGAAAACCCAATCAGTTAGGCATATGTACGAATTTGCTCCGCTCGGTAACTACTTCAAGCATTACAGCAAGCGGACCTTCTTTCCCCTTTCCACTGTCAACAAGTTGTAATGCTGTCACCAGATGTGTCAGCAATGCCCTCCCTTTCCGCTGCCTACATGCTGTCGCATGTGGCAGCAGCAACGAGAGGTCTGCTTGTCATGAAGACCAAGAGACGACTAGGCCCTTAATTAACTCCGAAGCCACAAGAGGCGCTGCCCTCGTACTATAAGGGAGGAGTCTCTGATTGAACGAAAATTAAGGGAAGGGGTTCAAGTCAAATTCATAGTCAGCAAATGTATTTAAGGGGCGCAATTTTCAATACTCATCACTCTTGATAGTTTTTCTCTTAGTAGTATTCTGGTGATATTACTCCCTTGATATCTCTTATTTAGTAGTATACTCTTGATATTTCCTTCTTAGTATACTCTTGATATTTCCTTCTTAGTATACTCTTGATATTTCCTTCTTAGTATACTCTTGATATTTCCTTCTTAGTATACTCTTGATATTTCCTTCTTAGTATACTCTTGATATTTCCTTCTTAGTATACTCTTGATATTTCCTTCTTAGTATACTCTTGATATTTCCTTCTTAGTATACTCTTGATATTTCCTTCTTAGTATACTCTTGATATTTCCTTCTTAGTATACTCTTGATATTTCCTTCTTAGTATACTCTTGATATTTCCTTCTTAGTATACTCTTGGGAGCGACGACAATCCGCATATCAGAGTCCGGAGACGAGTCAACGATTAGTCTTCGTAAGTAGTATTTTTACTACAATAATTACATATATATTGAGATTCAGAGTATTACATCGACAAGCACTAAGGACGAAGAAGCTCCTCTTAAAACGACAGTGCGGAATAAATTCCAGTACGCGTCGTCAAGTTCGCGCTCGCAATAGGGGCGCCCCTTTTAAGCAACCCTCACCTTAGTTCAAGTTCGGAAGCTAATGAAATTAAGCAACATACAGCGCGAGTTTCGACGAATCTAGTTTCGCGCCACTTTGCGGTAACTTTCAGTCATTACACTGCATTCATAACCCCAACCGCACGTGCTCATTCAAACAGCGCTAGTGTCGACGAACGAAACTTCGCGCCATTCGACATTCGTATTGAACAATCAAGCTGCATAGATTACTATACAGTTGTCTCCGCAACACATTACTTCAACCCAAGAGTCAATCTATAATTAATAATAGTAATATGAGTCAACCTTGTCATCAATAAATAATAGAGTAAACAGCATATACATCAGCCATACTTATATTGTATTATTATAATATCCCTTCCACTTGTGACCTTTCATCGCTACCACACAACACCCGTGGTCTCTGAGTTGTCAACGGCATCAAATTGTATCCGTTGAACCGGCCTTGATAAGCAAGTCGGAACGACGAGTTGCATTTTTTACATATACATTCTTAAATGTCTTACTTCCAATCTTTTTCTGAACTTTTTCGTTATTGACCGAAAAGTATTCAAAATATCAAAATATCAATTCATTGGAATATTTGACAATTCAAAATTGTAGAATATATTCAAACTACAATTTTCAAAAAACTATTAGAACTTTCAATTTGTATAAAATATGCTCGAGTGATACTAATCAAAGGCAATAACCATTCCATGGAACTAAAAAAGTCACATATTTTCTCCATACTGATTTTCAAACGTTCTAAAATTAAATAGTTTCAATCTCATTAAATAATAGAACGATTAGTTTAATTAATTTATATTTACAAATCCTAATAAATAACTATCACTACTGTCAATCCTTCAGAAGTTTAATGGTTATATTACTGCGATTAAATATAATATATTTATTCGATTACTTTCAGATTAAGTTACGTCAAAATTGAAATTTTAATAAAATAGTTAAAATGAATTATTTTATATGTAGTATAAATTAAAGTTAATAAATAATTTGATAATATTTCTTCTATATCTTTTACAATTATTTCCATATTATCCATATTATTATTATTATATTATATTATATTATCAAGTAAATAAATTTTCAAACAAAAACTATAAATTTATAAATTATGCATTTATGGAAATGCCTGATAGCATATAAAGTAATTAACGATTTGTACTTGGTTAATTAGCATCTCCTTAAAAAATTGTGTAAGGTGTTAATGATGTAACAAAACAATTTTTTTTTTAAAAAATGAAGTTAAAAGAAGAAAAGTTAGTCTTTATATTCTATAAGTAATATAATGTTTTTTATATTATATGTGTATAAAATACTTTTCTTATATGTTCATACAAATATTCAATAAAAAGCTATTGTAATGATTATATTTATAATTTGTACCGAAATTCCTTAGAAAAATCATTAAAATAATCTTTATATTACTTTAAATAATATGTTACTGAAGAAATACCTTCAATTTACTTTATTTATACAATCTCTATATATAATTCACCTGATAAAATAAATTAATATCTTTATAAAATTTGTTTAAATAAATGATATAATAAATTGAGATTTGGTTCTTAAAAATAAATTGTACAGAAGTGGAAGCTATAAGTAAAGATATTATATATAAATATATATATAAATTATATCTATATATATATATAAATAAAAAAATAAAGAATATTATGTTATAATATATTTAGAAATGATTTTTGTAAATTATTCTTTATAAATGAAATACCAAAATTGTTTAATCAATAACAAACTTGAACAGTTATATCTAATTATACTCATTTATTTATTTGATCGTATATGGTCATAATATTTTAAATGTTTTTTCATATCAAGTTTCTAAAATGTGTTTATGAATAACATATGACGAATAAATAATAAATGAATAATCAAATATTCTATAGTACTTCCACTGAATAAATTTATTATAATATTTATATTAAATGAAGTATTATATATAGTATAAGAAAATATTTTTAATTTACAATTTGTTTATTATAGATGTACGCCCATAATTATAAAAAGTAAAAATACTATTTATATCAACAGATAATATAGCCGTTATAAAATAATATAATTTACATTATTTTAATAATAACCTTACAAGTGTTTTCGAACGACAATTCATAAAGAAATAAAATAACTTTCAAATATTATCAAAAGCTTAAAATAAAATTCTTATAATATTAATAAGTATATTAATCTTTTTTTAATAATAAATAATTTTTTTTATACATTATAATATACATTTATTGACTTCAATTATAAGTATTCAAATTGTTTTTTTACAGTTTGTTACAAATTGTTGCTCTTTTTATTTTATTTCCAGTTTTATATATATATCAATTGATATATTTTAGTCTATTAAAATGTATTAAATTTTAAATATTTTATATTATATTTATACATTAATATAAAATATTCATAAAATTGTTTATAAATTAAAATAATATATTTTTGTATAATTTTTATTTATAAATAAAAGTATACAATTACTTTGATGCAATATAGAAAAAGGAAATATATTACAAAAAATTAATTTTTGTTATGAAATATTCCTAAATATATATCCAAATAATAACCTGTATTCTTATAAGATTTTTATTGGCATAAATTTTATAGATACAAATCAATCAAGATAATTATGAAATAACGTTTTTAATACTAAAATTAACATATAAATTAAAAACTGATTAGTTACACAATATATATATATATATATATATATATATATATATATATATGTATCTTATTAATACTTATTAATAATTATCAATTATTAGTTTAATTGTTATTTTATATTTATATATTTGATTTATGTTCAATACGAGAAATATGTGTCTTATATTCAAATTCAATTTTAGGAATTAAATATATTGTATATTAATTTTTTTTCCTCTGATATCCAAATGTATTAAAGTCATAAGAATAAATCAAATTTAAAATTTTATATTTGTATAGAAGTGTATAAGTATTATTTTCAATCCGCAAATCTATTTTAAATTAATATGTTTAATATTTTGTTATGTTATACATTATGATGTATTAATAAATTTTTAATTATAATATTGTTTAGTTTTATTTATATATTTAGTTAGATGTTATTTATGTATTATTATTTCTTAAAGTTTAATCACTTAGCAAACTAATAAATCATTCATTTATATTGTAATATTTTTATAAATATCAATATTAACACGTTCAATATTAAATCGTTAATTGTAAGTAGTATAAAACATACATTTTTTATAATATAATATAATGTTTGATTTTAAAAACTGTATCAATCTTTTCTATGCATTCTATTAGTGGCTATATAATTTTCTGCAGAACGCAAACTAATATTTTATTTTCATATAGATATAATATATGTTGTAGCTTCTATTAGTATTCACAATATGATAAAGCTGCAAGAAATAAGTCCAAATAAAAAAAATTAATTATGTAAAAGAATTAGGAAAAATAATTTTTAGTTATTTGACATTCGATGTATTTCAAATAAGTATAGAAAATTATATTATTCTATATAAAATTCTATATATAATTATATTATCATATATAAAACTTAATATTTTATATAGAAAAAGAAAACAATATTATATTTAAAAAAAAGATTAAATAGTTTTTAAAATAGGAGAAAGGAGTATGGAAAAACAACGATTGATATTAATTATTATTAATGTAATTATTGTTATGCTGTAAATAAAGTAATTCATATTATTTGTATACGATAAAGAAAAATGTACTATAGATAATGAATTTACTCATACATTACTTTTAATGCAATCATATAATTATCGTTTTACATTTAAGTATAAATAATATTGTAATAATATTTAATAAAGTATTTAAGTATTTCAGTATCTAAAAAGTACGATATTATTATTTATATATTAAAATTTTGTAGTTTTATGACATACTATTTGAACGCATATTTTTAAATAAAATATAATATCAATTTGATCTAGACATATGCATTATTGAAAATTTTCTATTCAAATTTTCATATACTTTGTAAAGGTGTTAAATAAAAAATTTACTTTTATAAATTACACAATTTCTTAAATGAAATGTTATTAATATATTATCAAATTAACAAAATTTGAATCAATTAATTAATCAATTAAAATATGTTGATAAAATAAAATTAATTGATTATTAAGATAAAAATTGTCAACTTTTATTAATTATTCAATAGTTTTTTAATTTATTAGTTTTAAAAAATGTAATAGATAGTTTTACTTAATAATAGTAAATTCTTGTGAATTTCTCTTTATAATAATAAAATAATATACATAAATTTTGGAATAATATTGTAATAGAATAATATTTTAATAACATTTATTTTTAATTTGTAAATATTAGTTAACCATTTTTATAAAACTTTTTTAATATATTTTCATATACTTATTTCATTAAAGATAAACCAAATTTTATATTACATAATATACTATTACAAATGAGATATTTAAGTCTAAGTTTGATTTAACAACTTTATATTATAATTCGATTTTAATTTATTTATTGATAATTTTATTTTTTGCTTAAAAAAAACTTATATTTGTATAAAGCAATTTTTATTTACTAGACATAGAATTTTATAAAAACAATATGTTGAAAAATGATTAATTTCACTTTTTACTCTACGTATATACTTTAATTATTTACGTACTTTATTAAAAATAATAATAAATGTTGGATAAATATGCGTATAATATACATTAAATTTGATCAATTTTAAATTTGATTATAATTCTATTAGAATAAGTATTTTCATTAATTATATTTGAAACCTTAACCGTGATCAAATAATAGTTTTAATACAAGTTTACATACAGAAATTTTCATAAAGCACAAATTTATATTATAGTATAACGAATGAACGTATATTCAATTAGTTGATTTCAATAAAAACTGTTCAGCCTTAAAAAATATAAACAATCCTTAATACGTATTTATAAAATAAATAACATCTTATATATATTTGTATAAAGATATGAAATTTTATTTTTGGGTATGATGAAATTATATTAAATTCAATACATTTATAGTTTTTGATTCTTTTAAATATGTACAATGCGGAAAACAGTAAATATTTTGAATATATGAAATTGCTTAAATACAATCTGTATTATTAAAAATAATTCATCGATATTCTTATCTTTTTATTAATGTACACGTTGTTACTGTACATTTTATCAATGTAATAAAATATTAGTAAATTAAAAAATATTAACTCTTAAATAATTTAAATGTTAATATGTAATTGATACTTTTTTACATTTTTTACTATCTCTATGTCAATTTATTAAAATTCTTTATTGAAATTTTGAAATGTAAATCGTTATATTTAATAGTTTTTAAATATTATCTGTAAATGTTTAAAATAAAAAATACTAGGCTAAATATTACTTGAATATTGCATCATATTTTATAAAACATTAACAAGAGCAATAGTTTTGTTTTTTATAGTGATTATACAATTAATAAAATTGAATAATTCATAATTTATTATATAAATTTTTAATAATATTTTATATGTAAAACGCTTAGTCATATATTTTTTAATTAAAATCTGTTATGAATATCTTCAATCGATATAAACAATTAATTTGTTACTAAATTAATCATTTAAACTACATTATAAATTTGTTTAATGGTTGAAAAAACATTTACAATAAAATAAGTAACAATTTTTTATGAAAAAATTATTCAATAGCTACCATGAATTTTTAAACATATAGAATTTATAATTTATTTATGCATTAAATTAATTTTTTTTGTAGATTTGATTGAAACCAAAGTATAAATTAGCTTTAGTAATTTTATATTAATAAATGATATGGATAATTTGTTAAATATTTTAATAGATTAACATTCATTGTAAGCAGTAAATTGGTTTATACGTTTAAAATATATATTCTTTTACTTGGCAGAGGTGCGATAAATTTGTATTTAAATATTAAAAAAAATTTCTGTATAGTGAATTGAAACTTGTTATTTAAAATTTAAAAATTTTAATAATAAATAAATGATTTTGTAAATTTTTCATACAAATAACTTAATAAAATAATTAAATATTTAATTTTGAAATAAACAATAATAATTAAACAATAATCAAAGAAAAATTATATAAAATCATACTTCATATGTTAAACAATATTGAAAATAAAATAAAATTCAATAATAATAGCAAAATTATGAATGAATATAAAATAGAAGGATGGATGAGGATCTAAGAGGGGAGACTTTCTGAATGTCGGGGTCGTCAAGTATTGATCCGACTCAACATATTTGATATTAGCCGGGTATATTCTTTACACGTTTAAAGAAAAACATATTTTTTTGTAATTATAAATATATATTTTTTATGACGTAATTAATAAATTTTAATATTTAATTACATAATTTTATTGTCAAATTTGTTATAATCAGAAATTTTAATTTTTAATTTTTAATGTATTAAAATATTTTAATTATTTTTTTAATATTATGAAATCAAATATATATAATTTCGAATTTTTATCAAAGTCATAAAATTTTTGTAGCTATTGAATAATTCAAGAATAGTTAATTTACATATTTTTAATAATATTACACTAATCTGAAAATAACTTTAATAGTCGAATACGTAAAGTTACTTTATATATAATTTATTAATTAGTTAATATCTTACAAGATACAAGAAAAAGATTTAAAAGTTTTTGTAAAAATCTTTGAATATATGTTGATATCAAATTGGAATTAAAATCTTATATTAGATTAAACTTAAAATGTTGTTACATTTTTTTTTGTTATATTTGTTTTTTCATTTATTAAAATAAATATTATATTTTAAATATATAAGATTATAATAAAAATTTATAAAATTAAATGTATAAATAGTATAAATGTATAAATAAATAGATGTAATATAATTTTTACACTTAAATACCTGAAATAGGTGGTGGTTCCACAAGTGCAGCAGGCCCAAAAAATGAAGGCAAATCACTACTAGTAGTGACTGGTGTGTTAAGATCACCCAGCTTGTCTTTTTCATCAGAACTTTGTGGATCATCTCTACATTCATCTGAACATTCTTTACTATTATCATTACTATTTGTTCGCTGTAAACGACGTCTTTTAATACTACCAATGCATTCATCAAGAGACGAAGAATTTTCTATTTCTAGCCGTCTCCTTAATTCTTGATTTTGAATCTGATTATGTATCTGACGCTGTTCCATTGAATTTAATGTATTGCATTGCGGTTGAATTGGTAATGTAGTTAATGTTAAAGTTGGAACTGGTTTTGAATTTAATGGTGTTATAGTAGAAGCTGGTATTGCTGCCGGTACTGAAGCTGAAGTTACACTTGCAATTGAAGTCGAAGGTGACGCTCCAGAGAGAAAATTAACACTACCAATACATCCAGTATTATTGGAACCACAAGCTGTAGAGGTATTATATGTTAAACATGCATCAAAACTTAATTGCACTGTTTGTAGGTTAAATGTCGCATGATGGTGTCCAAGTGGTGGTGATGATAATAAAAATGGGCTAGTTGCCGCTGCATGGGGCTGAGAGCCTAATACTTCCATAGCATCCATCGTCATTATTTAGAAGATGTCTTCCTCAATTTGAATAATATTTCTATTTAATAATTATTTTAATGCTTCACTTTTATAAACTTTAATAAGTTTTAACTAGTATAGTTTTAATTTCATGTATTCACTTAATTAAACACTACATACTTAAGCTATATTTAGATGAACATTTTAATGCAGTTGATAATAATATAATTTCGTGTATTTTAAATAAAATAATTTTTTTTAATTTACTTTAAGTATTCAAAAACTTTTTAAAACATATTTATATTTTCATAAACACTAATTAATGAAATATTTGTTTTATTTCATTTAAATTTCTTTTGTCAAACATTAACTACGAGCTTATATAAAATAAGTTTTGATAATGAACGTATTCGGATAAACGCATGGTTGCATGCATGCGTGACTAAGATGTTGTATGTGGTACCAATGACACTGAATGCGTGGGGGTCGCACACAGACTGAACTAAACGGCGGCGCGCCCCGTAGTTTTATGAATGGACCGCAGAGACTGTCCCATATTTGGAAACGCTCAGCAGCTGCCAGCCAATCCCCGCTCTTCGTATCAATCCGCGCACGCGTGCATATATGTGTGAGTATCATTGTGTGCACCAGTAAGTTCTCTCTTATCTTCTTCTCCCTTTTTCTTCTTGTCTCTTCGCTCCTGACAACGTCAACTCCCCTCCTTTCTTGATTTTCTTTTATTTCTCCTCTGCAACTTACTCCCACTTATATTATGTATCGAAGAGGGGTATCCTCTCCTACTCTCTACCTTCCATCTCCCACTGAATACATACTGGTCTTGCCTCATACTAGCTGCCATAGCCGGTTCTCCAGTGACGTCGATGATTGTGACGTAGGCAGCGGCTCAACTCACGATCGATTTTATATACGTAACCAAGAACATACATTCTAATAGTCCAATTTATTCTATTTCTCAAGAATTTTAACATTTTTCATAATTTCATAAAATCATTTAAATTAATATCCATAATTATTTATTCATTAATTGATATTATTTATTATAAATACAATAAATAGTTTTCTTCGATAATTTTGTTCGGTTTTCGAAAACGTTTTATGCTTTCATTCCACCAAAATTAATAATAAAATGAGAAAAATTCAAAAATTTGTATAAGTTTTTATCATAAAATCATTAATATTTACAGTAATTCAAACATTGATTGGTTTTTTAACAGTATTGATGTAATTACGTAATCAATTTTTGGATATAATTTATATTACTCTATTATAAAATCTAAAAATACATGTTATGTAAGTAATAAATTTTTATAGACACATAATAGACAATTGATTAGTAATATTTAAAATATTATTAAATTACAAATTCTAAATTTTCTAATATACATAAATCCAAATAAAATTCAAGAAATTCTGTTAATCAATATAATCTAAAAACTTATTAAAATTCATACTTTTAAATAATTATTTCTCAAATACATAAAAAAATAAAGGTTTTAAAAAAATGCCAAGACAGAGTTAGAAAATCGAACAATTATTCTTAATTGAATCAATTTTTGGAGTTTCGCATATTAGTATTTTATAAATATTTAATTGTTTTTAATAAATATAAGATTTATAAACTGAACTTTATAAATTTGAATGTTATTTGTGATGCATTGAATTTTATTATTCTTCTAAATATTCAATATTATTTTTTTTAAATAATATCAATATAGAAAAAATAACTAATTATTTTTAAATATGTATAGAATAGCTATATAATAAGTAAACAATTATAGAAGATAAAATTATAACTATATATAAAATTTATTGTAAAGCTAGAACAGCAATTTTTAAAAATACAAGTTTCATTTATACAGTAACTTGATCAGTATGCCTATTCAGTACTTAAAATCTTCTAATTGAAATCGATTTGTAGATTCAATAATCATAGAACTAGTAGTATAATTAATATATATAATATCATTTTTAATAGAAATAAATATTATATTATAATCATAAAAAATACACTTTTTTATTATAAGTAATTTGTTGTTTCTAAAAAAAGAAAAAAAATGAAAAATTGTATCTAAGATTATAATTTGCCATAATTTGATTTCTTTCAGTTTCTTGAAATTAAATAAAATTTATAAAAGGCAAATGTTGTAAACTAATATAATAAATTTAAATTAAAATTTTATTATACATCTATATTCATTTAACTAAATTAGCACTGAAAAACTAATATAGAATACGTGTAATTTCCAAATTATTTAATTATTTTTACTTTATTTTAAACACATAATTAAGTATCTACATTTGTAAATATTTAAAAATTTTATAGACGTTTCTTTTATAAACATTTAGCACAAAGTAAATCATAATTAAGTATTTTAGTGTTTTGAAAATCAAATAAATTTTTATTATTATAATCTAAAATTGACATTGATTGAACTTACAAAGTTAGATTTATAAATTATAATTATATTGTGAATATTTACCACTGTATTATTAAATAGAATTAAAAATATTATTAATACTTTACGCATGCTTTTTTAAAATTAAAATATGTTTGTAATCACCTGTTTGAAAAGTTTCTCAATAAATAAACATAAGAAATAAGAAATAACATAATATTCGCCAATCGACAGAGATGCGAAAATTACAATATCCCATGATTATTAAACATTATTTAAGATAATTATCTTCCTTTCCATTTGTAAAAATTAAAATTTTAAGATAAAGAAATCATTCGTTTTTAAATTAACATTTTTTTTATAAAAATAAGTTTTTGGTAATTATTTTTATATATAGTTTATCTAATCTAATATAAATAGGTAGATATTTTTATTATTTTAAACTAAAAAATGTGTAATAAGGTTTATAATAAGCTTCGTAATTTTTTATATCATATTAATTACATTAAATAAAATATATAAATTTGATTAAAAACAGTCAAGTAATTGATAAAACTTTTTAAAAATAAAATTAATTTTCTATGAAAGTTTAAACATATACGGTAATAAGGTAATAAGGTATAAAGGTAATAGGTAATAAAGATTAAAAAAATAATATTTACTTTAGTTTCAGTTTTGTTAAAATAATAAATTTTTGTATATTTTAAATAATGATTTTTTTTTCTATTTAAAATGTCTAAATATGAATGAAGTAATATAAATACAATCGTAAACATTATGGAATATTTTATTAAATTATTATATTTTATTATAGTATAGAGAATATTTCAAATGAAAATAGGTTATATTCTTGTAATTAATATTTGTAATTATTTAAATTGTTATTATAATGAATATTTTAGATTGCAGTAATATATTTCATTTGAATAACTATTTATTATAATGATTTTATATATATTATATATATATATATATATTAATATATGCACATATATAATCAAATATTTACTTATACTATTAATATTAATAAGTATAAACTATAATCTATAAAAATATTAAAAGAAAATAATTGTTATCAGAGATTATTTTGATATTTATATTTTATATTAGAAGCGAGTATATTTTTAGTACATCATTACCGATTTTTCTAATTTTATTATTATATGATTACAGTATTGTTAAAATTATTTATAATTTATTATTACGGAATAATTAAAAATAAATAACATTATTAATGAAATTAATAGTTCATTTATTTATTTGTATATATACAAATATATACATATAAACTAGTATAATAATAACGAATCTCAATAACTCTTATAATTATTTTCATTGATAATTCATCAATACTTAGTAATTATACATAGACACAATAATAATAAAATGATTTCTATATGTTAATATTATTCATCACTTCTTATATTCAATCGTAATATTTTCTTTTAGTATAAATGTTAATTCTCAAAAATATGTATTAAAAACAATTTAACTTAAATCTGTAAATTTACTTTTTTATATTATATTAATTATATTATATTAATTATATTATATTTATTCTATTAGTTTGCTTTAAAACTCACAGAAAAAATTTACTTTAATTATAATAATAATATTTGTGGTTTTTTATTAAATTATAATAATTAACTGTACATCCAGTATAGACTAGATTTTTTATGGATTTTTATAATTTATTATTATTTATTTTGAATGATTATCCATGTATAAAATGTATACTTTTCAAAGAACTAGTTTCAAGAACGAAATCATTCTTTTAATTAATTTTGTTATTAACGTAAAATAATTACCATGGAAAGTTATGCATTAACACACTATATCACTTTCTGTTTGACTTTCTAAATTGAAACTTTACTAAAATTTGCTGTTATTCTATTATAATCTAATTATAGTATTAATAAAGAAGTAAAAATAGCTTATTGTTGCTAAATTAGTAAATATAACCAAATATATTTATACTTTAAACATAAAATAAAAAAAGGAAAATAATTTAATACAATTAAAAATTCCACAGAAAGTCTCATGAACCTACATTGTATTTCTAATTATGAAATTAAATCTTTTAAATTTTCTACAAATACATAAAAATAGTAAATTTAAAAAGTAACATTTATTATATACATTGCTATCGTAATAAATAGTGGTTACAGTTTTTGAAAAGAGTCCATGAATAATAGTATTTATATCTAAATATTTATCTATAAAAAAACCTTTTAAAACCAATATATTTATTAATAAAAGTAAAAATTAATAAATACATTTTTCGACTTACAATTTTATTTAAAAATCTTTGAATAAAAATAAATTAATAAATGTTGATTAAACATTTCGTTACTTATTAATTTATAAAAATTGTAGATGAACTAATTCATATTTTCAGAATTACGTAAAATATATAGCATTCTTATACTCAATAATTGTATCTCAAATATTGCACCATGTACATAATTTAGAACTGTCCAGATTTTTTAAGTTAAACAAAAATTTTTTTCGTTATAAAATAGTATTATACCAATTCCTTCATTTATGAACAGTTTGAATTGAAACTATTTATACAGAAGCTTTTTATTAATCAATTTATTATTAATTTAATAACATTATTTTTTTTTTCATGTTTATTTACAAGTATATGGAATAGTTATTGAATTGATAATTTATAAATTAAATTTTGATATTGAAATTTTTAATGTTGAAATTATATTGTCGATGAAAGTAGAATTTTTATATAAATAGTCTATAATTATTCTATTAATGAATAATACAAT